CAATAAAACATGAAGAAAGTTAAGAGAAACAATAAGTTGCATTTATTGCGCATAAGCTGCAAGTAAACAGAGTTAATTAGATAAGTTAAGTTCAAATAGAAGATAAAACAAAAGAAAGTAATAGACGTATGAAAAAAAAGAGGGGGAATAATAATGGAAAAAAAAGGATGACATTTTTTAAAAAAACCGGAAAATAAAAGATATAATCTTTTCATCTGCCCACACGATTATATCCGCAATAAAGAGTGCTTTCTGATATTGTATCAATATAGTCAAAATAAAAACAATAGTGTAAGGAGCGCTCAAATTTTTTACAAAAATTACAACAAATAAAATAGAATACAATAAGTAAAAATAACACGTAAAAACAGAAAATAAAATGAAAGAAAAACAATAAGTTGCATTTATTGCCAAATTACAAAATATGAAAACAAAAGCTCAAATTGAGTGTAACTACAGGAATTTAGAGTACAGTTCCTACTGCATTGCTGAAGTGATTTGTTATGCTGTGCATTGATTTGTTAGTTACCAAGGATGGGCCCGAAATGGATGTGCGCAAGGTAATATTATACTGGATAATTTAAAAAGATGACCATAAATAATTTTAGAAAATAAATATTTATTTAAGAAAAAATATAAGATAGAAAAGAGAAAGGTAAATTGCCTGTTTTGCAAATAATTTTAGCCACGGATTTGCCCGAAATGGATTTGCATATGGAATTGTGTGGGCTATTGCTTAGTCTTTTCCTGGGAAACCTTTTCTTAGTCAAGCTATTGCTTAGTCTTTTCCTGGGAAATAGTTCTGAATTTATACCAAAAAGAAAAAGTGATCTCTCATAATAAACTACTGAATTTATGTAATTGTTGATAACAATAGTTTGCCAGGTATTTGATAATTGAAAACTAGTATCTGTACTAACTCACTTTTTCATGTTTGATCACAGAACTGTTATTTTTCATTACATGTTATTTTTTTTCGCAATTTGCACATGTAAATTATTTACTAAGCAGATTGTTATTACATTAGAATATTAATTAAATTAGATTCGATTTCAAGTTAACGTGACAATTTGTTTCAGGCTTATGAGCATTTTTATGCAGCGTCTTATGGTTCACTACTTAAAAAATCAGCGATTTTCGGAAAAGTTAAATATTTTAGATATAAGTCAGTTCCGCAGTGGACTGATCGTTAAGACACGGTTCCCAGCAGATCACCGAAGTCATCACCGAAGTCAAGCATCACTGGTTGCGGTCAGTGTGCGGGTGGTTGACCACTTGAATCAGCCTGCGTAGGGACCGAGGGTGTGCGGTATTGGTCCTCGTTAAACTGTTCTATCGTAAAGTGCTCGACTTCTAGTGCAGGTCGTCGGGCTACCGAAGCGGGGGTGCCATCCCCTCTGCAGAGGATCAAAATTGTGATGGCACGTCTTCGGATCATCCTCAGGGATGTTTCCCAGACCGTCGCCAATAGCCCATTGTGCAGCTCTAGTGCGACGTAAATGAACAACAACAACAAAATATAAGTCAGTATTGTTTCTTATGTAATTTTAATGCTGAATTGAATAAAAATCAATTGCAAGTAAAAACATTTATTTTTTAAGAGTTATATGCATTTTTTTGAATTTGATCCTTGTTAGTTTATTTTTATTAACATAGTATGAAATTCAAAATTATTACGTATTTGTTAAATATGTTTTTACATCTATTCAAATGTTTGTAGTAACTAACAATTAATTTTATTCTGCTCGGTATTATAAGATACATCGGAACTATTTTACTCAACTTTTTTTTTTTTTTTAAATTATTTTATTTTATCTTATTGTANATAACAACTTTTTTTTTTTTTTAAATTATTTCAAATCGTTCTCTCTTAGACATTTTCCTCATATAAAATTGCTCACAACTTTAAAACAAATGCTCCTTATCTGCTTGTGATTAGTTTCTTTCGATTGAGTGTAAAAAATACATAAAAATTGGTGCATAACTTAAAAATTTATGTTATGAAACGATCGTTGATTCTTGATTACATTGATTAAAAAAATATTAAAATAACTATTTTTAAGGAAACTATAATGTGATTCAAAATAACAGAAGTCCTTTTAGGAATCAGCCTCAAAATTTATAAGAAAAGCTAATAGTTTCATGAAGCCTGACAAAAAGTTTAAAAATATAGACTAAGCTTATTGAGTTTAATGATTTGTAAGAAAAAAAAGAAAGAAAATCTAATTATCAAATTTACAAGTGCCATAATGAAAGATGTAGGTTCAATTATTGGAACATAAAAAGTGTTAAAATTTCTTAATAAAATTGGAATTATATAATTTGAATTCCTATAAAGATTGTTAATGGTAGCACTTTCTTCAGTGTATTTTTATTTTGTATCTGTGGTACTTGTCACGCTTTTAGCTACGAGGATCGAACAGAAATGGCAGAAGTGGAATGTCATTTAACTGATAAGGGAAATGAATTTTAATTTAAATCGTGAAAAAAAAACAATATCTGATATTTTAATATTCTAAAACCTGCCATTATTATTGTAAATATGACTTTCTTATTATTCATATTTTTTTCATTTTAGGTTCCAATACTTCCAAGTTTCAACAGGTAAACGGAATCAATATTTAAAATAATTTTGTTAATTTGTAAAAAAAAAAAAAATACATTTGAGATTGATTTATAATTACCTGAAGAGTAAAACGGCTCACCATATGTTGAAAAATAAATACCTCAACAAGCATAAATATCTATACTTGAGGTTGAAAAATAATTACAACCTGAGGTCGAACATAATACACCTCAAGTTAGTAAAAAATTACCTTTTCAACTGTCAAAAAGTACCCCTGATTTAGATTCATAACACCACAAGTGTTAAAAAAATATACTTCGACAGGTTGAAAACTAAATACGCTTCACGCATTGCCGTTAGAATTGCATGAATCGCATTCAGTGAGATTGATCCTTATAACCTATCCTAACAATTTTAGCAAGCTATAAGTGCAATTCAACAAAGTGCTCTTAAAATACCTGTTGTTATTATCAACATGATTACAAAAACTGAAAACCGCCAGAAATAAATATCATAATATTTAATAAAAATTTAGTTTAAAAAACGCTCATATGATCTACGTTCTTTTATAAATATATATTAATGGCAAATAATGCTCTATTTGGACCTAATATTGTGTATGAATCTATTTGTCCTTTTATCAGTTTTTTTAGTTTGTAAGGGCAAATGATAATCTGTTTACGGTGTTTCTGCGTTTTCCTAATAATTGAAATTTAATATCACCTACTTTCTTATTAAAATTATATATATATATATTTCTCTTTGATATTTACTGTTGAAGTAGACGTGTTGAATTATATCTCAAATGATCATTGTGTTACTTTTTGGCAATTCACGTCGTGTTTTCTGTATGAAGATTAAGACAGTCAGTGTTATTCATGTTATATTAAATGCACGACATTGTATTGAAAATGAAGTTTTACTTTCTATGGAATACTGTTTGGTGCAAATTTACAATTTATAACATTCACTTTGAAAACTTGACTGATTATTCTCCATATATCTTTTTATTTTTAAGTGTACTTTATATGTACAATTGAACTTCATTCATAAGATAGTCTAAATTTTTTTTATGCTTTTTCAATTATAAGCAATTTTAAAAAAGTGTAAGCAGTAAATACTCTTTAACTAGATTTCTAAGTGAAACATAAAAGTATTTAATGTAACAAAAACAAGCATTTTTGTTTTTAAAAATAATACATGCTCTTAACATTAAAAAAAATTAAATATATAAGACTTCACTAAGAATAAAATTCCTTTTCTTCACATACAATTATATTAATTAATGAAACCTTGCATGCTTAAACTGTGTTAGTTTTTTTAAAATTTATGTATATATATATATAGTTTTAATAAATTTGTTTTATTTCGACTATTTAGATTTTATAGTTTTTAATGCTCTACTTTTTAATGTTGTAGGTATATTTCAAAATTACAAATATTCCTTTGGTTATAATAAAAATTGTCCGAAAAAATTATGTTCATTCTAATAATTTGGAAAAATTTGATGCTCATAATTGTCAAGTACCTATGCTGTAAAAAATTTTTCTTATAATAGCTCGATTCATTATTTATGATTGTACAGAATACTAGTATAAACTCTGAATAATCAGGCATTGTGGGAGATTTTTCCACTTTTAGATGCACCTGGATTTCAACCGTTTCAACTTGTTAATAAAAATATTTTTAAATGATTTATCATTTAATTGAATTAACTATGTCAGGTAGGTGAAGAATTACTTTAATTAACTAGTTTTACGATCCGACAGAAGCCGAAACTGTTCTGCTACATTTTGACTGAAGATTAAAAAAGCAATTGGTTTTGTTTGGTGATGATCTCTTGATAAAGAATCATGCATAGTTTGCACTCAGAGCATTCAGGATTCGTGCTAGATGATCATTCAAAGAATAAAGACTGGGCCTTTAATATAAGACAGGTAAGGAATGGAAATTCGCCCAGGTGAAAAAATGGATGAATATCCCAAGAAATCGAATGATCATCAGTAATAAGCTGTATTGACCATAAAAATAATTTTGTTTAAAATGAAAATTGGTTTTGCAAATGAATTGAAACAACTGACAAGAAACAAATTCACAAAACTGCCTAGATGATAACTTTTTAAGTCATAGCCAATTTTTTTTAAAGCAATGAGTGTTTTTATTTTATTGTTTCAATCTAAAAGAAAGTGATCTTTAAATCATATTTAATTCTGATTATTTATCTGTTGGAATAACTTAATGAAGTGAAATGTAGATAATTTCTTGCTTATTTAAAAAGTTATAATTGTTTGAAGCATTTTATTTATACTCAGACTAACTATTTTAGTTAGACATTCAGGTTTTTCGTGGAACCCAAGTTGTGAATCCCAAGCCTATGTTAAAATTTATAAAAAAAAATTGTGCCTGAGCATACTTTTAAATTTGGTAAAACATGATTGTGTAATGTTAATTATAATTTTTTTTTTTATTATTTACAATTTTTTTTCCTTCTTCTACCTGATACAAAAAGCAGGAATTCAACTAGTTTTCAATGAAACAAAATGTGCGCAATAGATCGTAAACAATAGAAAAGAAGGTTAAGTAGTCAATTGTAATAACAACATTAATATCTGCAAATCTTAAAATTAGGTAGTTTTCAGTGAAAAACAGTAACTATACATTCAGTTTCTATACATTCTAAAGCATATTTTTTACAAATTTATTTAAATATCATTTAATTAAAATGAGTAACATTTAATTTGAACTCACTAAAAAAATTGTTGTCAATTGTAAAAAAACTATTTTTATTTAAAGTCTTCCATCGCTACCTGACTTGAAATCAGATTGTGAAGAAGAGCTATTGAAATTGATGAAAGAAATTGATTTGGAATTCAAAAATAGAACCAAAGATCTTCAAGAAAAGTTATTACAGTCAAGGTCTAAATGTCAAACACAAGCAAAGGAGATTGCTTTACTAACTTCTAAACAGGTTGAAATTATTGTACATTGATATTTTAAACATTTTATTTACAATTATTATATTAAGTGTAAAATTTTTCAGGATAGCAAACGTGATGATCATAGAAATTTAGAGCAGAAAGTTGAAAAACTGAAAAACGAAGTAATTTATTTTATATTTTTAAACTGTTACTTATACATATAATTAAATTCTGATTACATTAGTTAAGGTTTCATACTTCAGTTCATTTTTTATTATTTTCAATATTTTTGACATATTTTTAAGGACATTAAAAAATAAAACATAGTGCTAAAATTTTTCTATCATGCACTTTTTAGTCTAAAAATCTAATCACAATCACATCATTAATTGGAAGCCATTCACTTATCAATTTTTGCTAAAATGAATGCTATAATTATTAATTTTGATTTTTTATATTTCTATTAATACTTTCATATTTAAATAGTGTACATTTCGTATTTAAATTTAAACAGTATGCTACTAACATTCCATTATTCTAAGATAATTTGAAAATTTTTCGAACACTTTTATTTTCTGACATGTCCATCTACTAATAAAAAATCGATATTCTTGTTAAAAGTTGAAGAAACTGGTTGTTAATTATTGCTATGCATTGTTAAATAGAATAAGTCTATCCTATGACCCAGGGCCGTAGCCAAGATTTTTTTTGGAGGTTGATATAGAAATATCATAAATAAATATATATTGAGAAGCCCCACATCTGGAATTGTCAGGACTGGCAAATCCAGACAATAGGTAGATTTTTCAAGATTATTTGTTTTTTAGGTAAACAGACCTTAAAATATCTTTATTCATGTCAATTTCATTCAACAATGTTTTCTTCTAGTTTGAATGACATTTAAAAATTAAAGAATGTTTAGGCTGATAAAATATACATGTACTAAAAATAAAAGGGAGCAGAGGATAATTTGAATTTTATCTGTCCTAAATAAAGATACCCTTTTGTTTTCTTTCTTTTTCATTAGAAAGTGAAGCTGCCTAGATAATTAGATTAAAAAAATATAAAAGAAACAAGCCTCCTAGAAAACTCCATAACTAAATTAATCAATCAAATTTAATAGAAAAAATGATTTCAAACAAGGAACTGAATTGACTAGATTTTTTAATGAAAATATCTGTAATTTAAATAAGCAAGCAAATCCTGTCTGCCTGCTATTCTTTTCAAACACTATTAATATTCAGCTTCAATAATATTCATGGTTTAGTCTTCTCTCCAAAGTTCATTTTCCTTTAACTGGTCTTGCCTTTTCAACAACTCTTTTAATGTCTTTATTGTTTTAGAACAAATGTTTATCTATCAAATAAATAAATACAAAAATATAAGTTTTTTTTTTTGAAAATGGAAAGTTTTGTTAATTTTGATTGTTATAAAATGTCCAGGAAATAGACCAATTAAGTAAAGCAGTGTTTATCAAAATTATGACTTTTGTGTACCCTTTCTAAATTTTTCGTAACGCTGTATACCACTAATAAAAAAATTGCACAAAAGTTAAAAATCACAACTGACTGTTGACACCACTAATTATTAACTGTTAGCTGCAAAAAAATAGCCAATAGAAAAATACGTAATCGTAAATTTTCATGACTAGATTTGTTTTTTTGTTTTTTTTAAAAAAAAATTTGAAAATTTAGTTTGTTGCAAGATATTTTGCATAAGAACGCGTACCCCCCTAAACTGTTCCTGTACCCCTGGGGTACGCATACCACACTTTGTGAAGCACTGAAGTAAAGGAATGTATACACTGTGAAACGCTTTGTTACAAACACTCCTACAGAACGAACGTCTCTCATTTCTGACAGTTTTCCTTCCATGTATATTTTATAAACACACTGCAAAGCAGACGCTTCCATAACCAGAGGCGGACAGTCATTTATGTCTGGGAACATTATTTTCAGACAAGACAGCACTTTTTCTAAATTTGGAAGAAAAAAAAAAATATTTTTACTTTCATTTTTTTAATTTCAAAGGAAAAAAAAAAGGATCTTTCCATCATTTTTTAAATCATGTAAATTTTTTGCCTTATAATTAAAAATATTAAGCAATTTCAGTACTAAAGAATCTATCATTCTCCTGTGACCTTTCTTTATCTTCTCAATTTTATCTTTGGCTAGAAAGAAGAGAAAATGCTGCTGCTCATGTAAAATATTTCAAAAATCTTTTGGTCTTTTCATCCAGATGACACAGTTGAATTGTGCGACCTCATATGCTCAGTCTTGAGAACCTACAAATTTCAATGATCCATTGAATGATCTCAATTCCTCTTCAATCCCGCTAAAATTCCCTTTCTATTTCTTATCTATTTTATACATGTACTCAACCCAACTGGGTTAAAAGAAGAGAGTAGAAATCTTAGTCATCAAGGTGTTCATATAAATCAAAAAATTATTCAAACTCTTGTCAAATGATCAATTGTAAGTACAACAACTCCATTGGACCTGGTGTCTTACAGATAGGTATTTTCATTTTTCTATGCATTACTGGAGGCAGTGGTCAGAAGTAGTGAACTACAGATAGTGAAACTACTGTAGTGCTACTTTTATTTTATAGTTTGTAGAGTAGTGTGCTACTTTTCTTGAAAAATTAATGTAGGGAATAGGGTGATACAAACCATCAGTAGTTTTGTAGCAATTCCTTGCAACTACAGTGATCCCTTGTTTTTCGCGACTAATGGAAATTAGAACCTTCCGCGAAAGCTGAAAAGCCGCGAAGTAGGATTTACCCCTAGGAATTTTCCTGTATGCGAGTACATGAATGTGTTAAATATGTAAACAGTACTTAAACGTGTCAGTGCTAATTAATAAGATTAATTACAAAACCTTATACAGTAATCAACATTAATCAACATTGCTTTCTGGGAGAGGCGAAGAGTCTTGTGTTGGTGTCGAAGGAGAGGCTCTCACTTGACTCGTAGAAGCTTTAGGATCACTCGGATGCTAGCTTAGAAGATGCTAGGTGAGGCTGCGATGATGCGCAGACACAACTCACAGGGATAAATCCACTCGAACACTCATTGGTGGATGTTGCACTGGAAGCCAATCTCTCGCCTTTATGAGAGACCGTGGTATATGTACTCTGAGTCAACTCATCTTTTTGTGTGACATGCAGGGATCCTTCTCTCTTGCTCATCAACATGAAACAACGCTTCTTTCCGCAATGTGGCTGCCGGCATGGTTGTATTTTTTCATTTTTTGATGAATATTTTTTAAAGCCCGCATAGCACTGAAGCCGCAAAACATGAAGCGCGAAGTGATGATGGAACACTGTACTTTTAACGTTAGTCTAGAAAAGAAACACGGTTATAACATGACTCTTTTTCAAATTTGATGAGTACAAATCTTTGCGGGTTCACCAAAGGATCCAATAAAAATGGCCTGTGGCTGTAGCTGAGCATTAATAAAAATTTTAATGCTTATTAACATGTTTAAAACCACAAGTGACTAATATTTAAACTAGCCATTACGAAAAATGGATAATTAATCGCTTTGGTCACACTTTCACATGCGAATGCACACTCGGGAAATATTGATGTTATTTCAAAGGAAGGGAACATATTTTCGAGCTACTTAATTTCTTAGAGGAAATAAAAAAGCGTTAAACAATTAAAAAATTGCAAGTAGTTGATAATTTCGCATTTCTGAAATTAAAGATTCACTTTCAAAAAAGGCATAAAAATTGGTTAAATGAACATATTTCAAATCAGATAAAAAAATGTTTTGGAATAACAAATTGGCTTATGTAAGGATGAACAACTATTTCTTAATTATTCTGTTATATATAATGTAAGCTAATTTCTAATTCAAAACCATTTTGAGCATAGGTATAAATTAAGTTCTCCAGCAAAGTTCGTCTCCTTAAAGTAGTGAAATAGTTACTACAATTCCAAAGTAGTTGTATTTGACTGCATTTGTAATAAAGTAGTTGTAGTAAACTGCAAAAATTATGTAGTTTTTCCGACCACTGATTGGAGGTTTACTTTCAGGGAGATATTGCCAATTGTCCTATCAAGTGATGGAGAGGTGTAAGGGGGAATAAACCTATTAATTGAAACTGACTGGGGACTTGATGTAGGAATATAAGTATCTATTTATTACCATATGACTCACTTGAATATCTGCGTAATTAGGAAAAACATTTTCATTTCACTGTAACTATGTCTCAAATTATTTTGAGAGAGTAATTGATCTCTTTTTGTTCAACATTGCCTCATAAAAGTGTGACTTTGCTAGAAAAAATTGAAGTTTTAGAGTATTCTAAATGCAGTGCCCGAGAATCCATTGAACACTTAAAAATTGTAAACACTCAGGCTGCAGATATCATTAAAAATAAAGAAAAACTAATGAAACTTTGGTGCGATATTGGAAATAAGATCCAAATTAGAATGTCTTAATAAAATGAACCCGGAGTTAAAATTGACAGATATATTTTTGAATGGTTTTCTCAAGTTAGAAGTAACAAATATCCAGTATTAGGACCAATGTTACAGGAAAAGGCTAGAGAAGCAGCAGAGAAAGTGGAGGTAAAGGATTTTAAAGTTTCTAATAGATGGTTACAAAAGTTCAGAAAAACGCATATGATTTCTTTTAAATCAATAAGCGGAGAGTCCGCTTCTGTGAATGCTGACAGAATACTGTGGTTGGAGAAGCAACCTTCCTCATTTAAGAATTATGTACTTGGTGAATATTAATTGCTGATGAAACTAATTTTTTTTATTGCATACTACCGGTAAAAACTTGGTGTTTAAAAGGTGAAAAGTTTGAAGTAGGGAAAATGTCGAAAGAAAGATTGACGATTTTACTTTGCACAAGTGTGATAGAGAGCCTCCAATGATTATAGGAAAATAAATTAAGCACAATTGTTTTAAAGTAATGAATTTATTGAGATTTTGAATACAATGGAAAGCAAATCGATCAGCATAAATGACCGAGGATTTAATGACTGACTAGTTGCTTGAACTTAATAAAAGATGGGCAACAAAAACAGGAAAGTTCTTATTTTTCTTGATTATGCAGCATCTCACCCTGCCATTAATGTGAAGAATATAAAAATTGCATTCTTTCTCTTAAATGTAACGTTATGAAAAACTTAGAAGTGTTTTATCGGCAACTCATTTTAAAGCATTTGATTATGAGCTTACATGGGCCAAAGAAAGAAAATTTATGTTTTACAAGCTTCTTTGTAGACTTTTGCCGTATGGAAAAAAGTAAGAATCTCAAACATTTTAAACTGTTTCACTAAGGCAGGCCTAATGATACATCAGGATGCAATATCCTTGCCCGCCCATGTCATAGATTCTGATGATTCTCTTTCTGAATGAACAATTGTGATTTGCTTGACTGGAGAAAGTGTTATCAACGGTAGTGATTTTGTAAACATCGACGTAAATATTGAATGTCAAAAGAATGATTAAATATGGATGATACTGTTGAAATGGTCACAAATAATGACACCTAAATGTTGAATTAAAATGAAGAAATTGCTACTCAATTGCTTTCTAAAAAAAAAACCAAAAGTGAAAATTTTAAGTGAAGCTCGATCTTGTAATGAGGAACTGAGACATTTTTATCTATTCAAAAATGATGAAATTGGTGTAAAAATGCTTAATTATTCAAAAATGTACCATAAAGATATGGTAAGGCGCAGCCGCTTAAAACAACTTTCCATTACATCCCTCTTTTCAACTGGATAAATATATGACAAAGGCACGTATCCGATTACTTAATCTACCACTTTTGTACAGTAAATATACTTTCGTTAAGTTTTAATAAATGTCAATGTAAATAGTTGTTATAGATTATTTAATTATTTCTATATCATTGCAATTATTCTAAAAACAATTTATGATGTGAATCTTTGTTATTAGTGTACCCTTCCCCTAAACAAACAACTCTTGTAAACAGACAATTTTTTCAGTCTCAAGTGTGTACGCTTAACCGAGGCTTCACTGTATATATACTCGTATATCTAATTTTATTTTTATAAGTAACACTTCTAATTATTTCATTTTTGGTTTCAAATTTTATTATGAGATGCAAAAAGTTTTTTCTGAATGAATATTAATTTTGCTTTGCATTTTGCAAGTATTTATAATTTGTTCATAATTAAATTATAGTATTAATTTGGACAAATTTTGCTTTATTCAAAATTTGTGAATAAAACAGCCAATACAAGTATGAAGTTTTAAGTAGGAGTTAAATTCTTACATGAGAATTTTTTTTTAAAAATAAATGTTCATTTTTACATTTAATTTTACATGTTAAAAGTTATTGGAACCAAGATGTATTAGTTCTTTTTTGCCAATTTTGCAATTCTGAACTAAAATAAAAGCTGTTTGTCACGCTTAACATTTAAGAAAAGTTTGAAATAATTAATAACAGGTAAAAGGTGATTAATAACAGGTAAAAGCAATGATTTTACTGACCAATTTCAAAGTTTCATGAAATGTTATTTTCTAAAAAGCAAGCAGAGAAAATAATTTAGCTAAGAAATGAAATTATTTGTTTTTAATAAATTTGAAAAACTTACTGCTTTTATTTTTACTTAGTAAAAGACTGATATATTAAACAATATACACTAACTTGGGAAACTTTATATACTTTCTTTACAAGTTGTTTAGAATGCAACTAACAAGCAAAATGATGAAAATTTTAGTTATAGCAAGAATCTGTCCTCTTTTTCTTAAAAAGGGAGAGGTGTCCCTCCTTCTCCTGGTTTCTAATAAAAAAAAAAGAAAAGGCCAATGAATTGAAGGGTGAATGTTGGAATATTTAAAAAGAAAATAAACGTAACTTAATGGTTTATTATCTTTTTTTTCCGGAATGAGGCAACTTTTTGAAGTAAAGTAATGGTTTTAAATGTAAAAAACTTCAATGTTTTTTTCTTTTCTTTTTTAGGTCAGTCTTCTACGAAAAGAAAATTCAACCTTAAAAACAAGAGTTGAGTCTTGTACAAAATATGAAGAAGAAGTTGAAAAATATAAAAGAATTATTTTTTCTGAGCAGGTATATGAACAAAATTTGATTAAATTTTCTCGTATATAAATACAACAATTTAACGATTTTATGTTACAAGTTTGTTTTGTGCTGAAAAACTTTCATTTTAACAAATTCATTTCTTCTTGTTAAGTTACAAATTAGTAAAATTTTACATTCAATAGAGTATTTTGCAGTGCAATATCTAAAGACATTTTTTTAACATTTAAATAAATTAAATAAATATTATACTATTTTGAAATAAAATTTTTTGCTAAAGTTATAAATGGTCTTAATTGTCAATAAATAGTTAAAACAGAATTACATTTTAAAATTGTTAGTAATCTTTTAATTTAATTTTTTATGTTAAAATTTAATTACTTTATTAATTGGCAACAAAATTAAGACCAACATTGTTCAGTTATAACTTCCAATGTTCAACTATTTTTAAACCAAACTCAGAAGACAAAGAAACCTGTCAATGAAATATTATCAATTACAAGTTTTATTCAATTGTTGTATACCCTAATAACTTTTGATCTAATGATTAGATTTTCAAATATTAGAATTTAACTTTAATAGTTCAAGATACAAAACGTAGTTTGTCAAAATAAACATAATGTTTTTGTTGTTGATGGATTTGGATTCTTGAGTAGTAAAATAGGGGGGAGAGGGGAGAGCCACATATCTAGAAAGTATATTCTCAATAATGTAGGAGCCCAAAAATTTTGGCACCTTAATGTTAATTTTATTTTGTGCCTTCTTAAAGTAGTCCTGTTTTTCAAGAAATATTCATTTAATTCTTTTTTAATTTTGGATATTGCTGCTTAAGATTACATAGAATAAATTGATGTAAAACTGTGTATCTGCTTTAAAGTTAAAAAAATTATAATACAATTGTGGTCATTAGTAAATAAAATAATAAAAACTTTTTAAATAATAATAAAAAAGAATTTTTCTCTTGGAATTTTCTTTGAATAAATAAGTTTTATATTTGTGTGCAAAAATATTTGTTTGCCACAAATATTAAATTTATTATTTTTATGTCTGATTTAGTAACTTAAAACATTATCTGTAATATTTCACTAATTAATTAGCATATTTAAGGATAGACCCTTAAACCACTAAAACGTAATCCTTGAATGTGAAAATTCCAATCTTGTATAAAATGTTATTATGGTGTACATTAATTAAATAAAGGTGTCTCTTTTTATTTTAAGGTGCCCACTTTTTTATTCTGTGTAATGCACATGAAGGGGAAAAAATTCCAGAAAATTTCTCACACATGAGTAGCAACATATTATATTTACATGTTTCATATTATTTTTTTATAGAAATATAATCATGTATATTTCTATAAATAAACATACATTTTTTTTAATGAACTCATATTTCTGGTGCTTCTCGACCACACCGGATATTTCAAGCCATTTCTGTATAATCAAAATGCACTAAATGATTATTTTTGTTTAACTATAAAGATTTAAATGATCGTGAGGCTGAATACTAAAAATTAACTAAATTTCTCAGAAAAACTTGCAGAATAAACTAATCGTAATTACAGAAAGAGGACCTTCCCTTTTACAGTTTATAAAAATTTATGAATGATATAATAAAAATTGTTTTGCATTTTTAAAAGCTTTATTTTCTTTTTTTGAGCAGTATCATACTGCATTAATACATATTGTATTTCTACTTTATTTGATTTTGACATAAAATTTATCAAAATAATAAATAGAAAAATGAGCTAATTTTATTAGAAGAGATCTATTATATATATTCTGATTAAAAATAAAAATTGTCATTAATTTTTAAAATTGCTATTTTCCATATTTGTTCATTAGCATCATAATGTATACATACATTGTAATATTTTACGTGGTTTTGACACAAAATTAAATTTAACAGGAGAAAAATGGATTCTTGGAGAAGAAATTAATCTCATCAGAAGAGGATTTAAGAGAAGTGCTAAATGAAAATAAAAAACTAAAAGCTTTTTTAACCGCTTTGCAACAAAATAAGTAACTATATTTGGCTTATTATTTACTTGTACCATTACTATTTGACGTATCTGATATATGTATATGTAACGGATAGTTAATTCGTAGCACCAGATGGCGCTACCCCTCTGTCCGCGAAAACAATAACAATAGTTTTCATTCTGACTTAATTGGAGATGACGCAAGACGAGCTCTGCGAACCATACTGGTTCCCCTTTCCCCCCCACTCATTTGAGTAAAACTTTCAAGTTCTTTTTATGTTAGTTAATGTTATGTTATTACCCTTTATTGTTAAATGTTTAATGTGAATGTATAATTAAAATACTGAGCTCTTTATGATGGTGTTTTTCTTCCATCGTCTTGCGTCCTTACATATATGATATAACATTTTAATAATGTTTTTTTTTAAACACATTAAATATCATGTCAGTCATCATTGACTGACATGAAAAGTCAATCACACTCAAGATTTTTATAAATAGAGCAAAGCATATTTTCTCAGCTACTGTACAGTGTAACCACTCTTGTAGAAAACTTTTCTCTACTGAGAGGATCATTTATTTAAAATTTTTTAGATTCTGACATCTTAAATTAATCAAAGAATGTGTTATAACTATGTATATGAAATAAATTAAATATTCATAACTTTTCTTTATTATTTATTCAAAAATATTATAAAAGCATTTTTTTTTATTATCTAGTTAATTAACAGTTAATAGAATAATGTAGTTTTTGTATATAAATGACTATAAAAATCCCTAAAATACACAGAGTTTGAAACATTTTAGACGTTTCACAATTTGTGTATGAAATTTAAATATTTTCATGCATAACATTTATTATATTTTATAAAATCTACTGGATTTTAATTTTCATGTTGGCAGTTATGTGTGAAAGAAAATTTGTCTTTTTAATAGACCTTACTTATAACATCCTGAAACATATTCAAAAAATTAGCTTACATGTGATTATTATACTATAATTGAATTTTTTGAATGTACCAAATTGATGTTCTTAAGGCAAAATAAAATAACTTTGAAAATATTTTATTTCAACAAAATTAAATTGGTTTATTTACAGCATTTTTAAATATAAATATGGAGAGCTTTGCTTTCAACAATTATGTTGTGATAGATTTTGACTATGAAATTGTTCACATGCAAATCATTTGTATTGTTTTAGCACATAGTTAAGTATAATACATATTTCCTTTAAAAACATCTTGCAGGTCAGGCTGCACCAGAATCAAGAAAAAGAAATAATTACCTTACCAGTTGTTTAGTGTAACATTCTTTAAATGATTGGGTAATTCCAAGATTCAATGAATCTAGTTTGCTTGAAAAAATTCCACTTGCACATTTTTCATTTTAAGGTCCCATACTTCCTTTAATCAGCCTTCCTACCACCCTCCTGATTTTGACTCACAGGAGAAATCTGCCCTCACAAAGGATAATAAGGTTAAATAGAAAGAATGTCAGTAAAGCTTCATACAGCTAAAAAAACAAGTCTCTATCTAGAAAAAAAAAACTTTGAAAAAGTTTGCGCAAGCTTTGTAAAGAAAAAACAAAATCTGTACAATGTGAAATTTCCTTCAAAATTAAAATGTAAAATCCTGGATAATTTAACGTTATCAATGATGGTGGAAGGTTCGAAACGGATAACGTAAAACCGTGGTTCCCCTGTATGTCAATGCATTTTTATTATAATTGCTTATTTTAACTTTTGTGTTTCAGTTTTAGAAATGATTCAAGTTTTGTGAATGACCTGGTCACTGCTGAAACAGAGAAATACCATCAGGAAGAAACTGTACTGATTAATGAGTTTCAATCCCAAATGGAAAGAAGAATTGATGACTTGGAAAGAAAGCTGAAAGAAAAATTTGAAATTTAACTCATTTGTACAATGATCCTTTCTATTATGTAATGCATAAATCACAAGCTTATTCTCTCTCTTTTTTTTTAACCCAGATATTTTTAAAATTTATTAAATTTCTTTGTCAAATATATACTTATACATTTTTACTTTATATATTAAACAAAACTTAAGGAAACATGTGTCCTTTAATTGGTTTTTCTCACTTTCTTTTGAAACATTATCAGTTTGTTTAATCTTATATAAGGTGCGGTAGTAAATTTAAAGATTTTAAAAGTGTTATTAAGAGTAAATGATTAGTTTTGCATATCTTAACCCTTAGGAACATATTAGATTATTGTTATAATTTTTTTTAGTATTGTTACATAAAAGTATTTTTAGGATTGAAATTGATTTGCAGGAAGAAATTTATTTAGCTTATTACATAAAATTAATTTAAGACCATTTTATATGGTGGGAAGATGAGCTGAACTTTCTAAACTTTACTTATTGTAAAGAAATAGCCATAAACTTGAACTTCTTTAATTATAAATAACCAAATTCATATATTCTGCGTTTATAACTAGAAATAAGTAAACACAGTTCAGAATAAGGAATAAACGTTTTGTCGATTGTGGAATTCAAAAGAGTGAACCAACTGAGGTTACTTCTCAAAATTCAAGGTTTTGTTTATACATGTTTCAGTAATTCGTAAAGGGGACAGAGAGGTCGCAATGTATGTCATAAGTAAGTAATTAGCATATTTTTGTCTTTTCAATTCTTATTAGTTAATACTAAACGTTCAGCTGTAGGCAGAAGTTTAAATATGTCCGATCATCGCAAGCTTGCAGAGTCTTTCGAATTTATTAGTTGTTTGTTTCATTAAACCCCCGTGGCAAAAACACAGCGACATAGTCGCAGAAAGCGACTGAGTTCTTGCAGAAAGATTTTTTTAATTTTGGAAATAAAAATTTTTGGTTTGCCACAAACAAAAGTTCTCACAAAAGATTCTGCAGAAACAGAAGCTGTTTTACCAAAAAAAAGAAGAAAGAAAAAAAATTTCTACAGAAACAAAAAATTTATGCAGAAGCAATAATGGTTCTGCAAAATTTTTTTCTTACAGAATTGTTTTAAATATTTTTTTCCTAGCGTACCGCGGAAGAAGAAAGTGCTCGTAATTCTCCGTAATTCTACGCAAACAGTTACTGGATAAAAAGGGGAGAATTTTTTCCCCTTTATTAAGCTATTTTTGGAAATTTACCAACTTCGGCCTCTATTGCTGGCGCAGTAATTTGCTTTGTGTTTTCTTATGTGGAAAATTTCAAAAGATTCTTTTTTTAAAAAAATCATGTCTACTGAAAAGGTTATTTGTTGCAATTGTGAAGCCACAATAATTAAAACAAATTTGAAAACTGATTTTTCAAAGCGGCATTCCGAAGAAGAAATAAGATGGAAGTTGACAACATCTAGCGATGTCAGAGATTTATTTTCTGGAAAGCGACAGGAAAAGAAGCTTTCCACGCTACTAATATTTGAAGAAAAAAAAAAACTTTCTAGATTCGAATCAAATATTCTTACTAACAGCGATATCGATAGTAAGGATGAGACAGCATTTCCAACAAATCAAGAAATTTTAGAAGCAGTCAAAGGTAAAAAATAACTATATATATATATATATATATATATAAGATAAAATGCCTATATCCTTTGAATTAAGTCGTCGATAAAAAAATAAAACACTCGCAATCTAACAATAAATGAAATAAAGCCTGAAAGATATCTCACGATCTACAATCTTTTGGCATGCAAATAAAAACCAGATTGGTGGAAAATATTTACTGGTGAAACACTTTCAAACAGGTTACCATACGCAATGCTATATATTTACACAATACAGTGCGAAATCACAAGCGCTGTGTATTTTTTTCGTTCTGAACTTAATCTGATCACAAAAAAAGTTTTATTTACCTACTTTTTTTAAAAAAAAATCTTTCAATAAGTCAGTACAATATGAATCGAATCTAATTAATTTATAATTAATTAGATGTAGAAAAAATTGAAACAAACATTGCTTGAATTTTTTTGCTTTTAGAATTCGGTTATAGTCAATTCTATTTTATTACTTTGATTACTCAACTTCAATATTAATTTTTTCACCTGATTTGTTTCTGTAATGAAACATTAAATCATACTGTTTTAAACTGCTTTAATAATTTAATTTTGATACTGTTTTTAACTGATACTTCAAATTCAGTAATCTTGTTTTATAAATTTAATCTTTTTGTCCATTCTTAGCTATTTCTATCTTATTACAGGTTCTGGGTAATCTTTATTTATGCTCTAGTAAGCATTTTTGTCTGCAGATCTATACATTTATAACTTTTCGTTATTATCGAAGATTATGCAAATTTATACTTAAACAATTTAAACTTATTAAGAAATGTAAACTTATATTATGAAATTACGAAAAAAAATCTACACAGTTTTATTTTATAAACACAAATTTCATCTATTATTATAAATTCATTACACATACATTTATAACGATAAAAATATCTTGCAGAAAGATATTGGTTCTAGTTAGGTTTGTCGCAGAAAGTCAGAAAAAATTCTGCCACAGGTAACATTAAACGTTATATTGAAGAAACCAGTTAGATTTAAAACATCATCTAATAATAATATTGGATGGTGAGTTTTTCCAAGTTTATGCAGAAAAATCAGGCGGAAGTAGTAAGCCTTACGACGAATTTTAACCTGAAAATTCTGGTAAACAATGCTAGATCGTGTTAATTAGTCAAAATGTAAGTTCAGTCTTGGAATTTTTTTTTAGAGTGACACCCATGCACCGCATTGTTTAAATTTTTTATAATAGTAACATTTTTTGAAGAATTACTAAACACTTGAAAAGTATTGATCAGACATTCTATACTTGAATAGAGAAAATATTTTATTACTACAAAAGATGGAAAAGATGTTTAATTATTACACAACACAAAAAATAATAAGCCTTGACACAGAAGAGTCTATACAAATCACAATAAACTTACAAATATATGACAGTACAAAATGTTTCCAATTTCATTAAACACTAAGACAATAACAGACAAAACCAATCTTGTTAAGCCTGCAATTTAAAAAAATATATATCATTACACTAAGTTCTAATTATTACATTATTAATTACTATCGAATAACATTAAGAACCCCCTTCGTCTTAAAAGCTAATACCGTACGACCCACTCAACACTGAATGAGATTTCTTTATTAACATAAACAATTTAAAACAAAAAATACAGTACACTATCAATGGCTAAAACATGAATTGAAAACTTTGTTTAAAACACAGACAGTGCTGTAAAGACACTAACTAAAATGTTGGAACAGTTTTTTAGTCACAGAAAAGATATTTAATGTATTAAATAATTTTTTTTTAATGAAAACAACAAATCCACATTAGATGTATATATATTCACATCTTAATGAAGATTACCTCTAAGGAACTCCCTAAACTTTTTTTAAAGATATTTTTTACTAACCTTGGGTAACCCCATTTATTTCTCTGAGTTTCAGTCCCAGCTTTTTTCCTAACTTTTAACTGCAAGTTTTCGTGCTTCAAAAAATAAATAAATAAAGATTTCCCCTATGTTATTAATAGGAGAGTAGTGAATAGTAAGGAAATTTCAGTGCAAAATTTACCCACTGGGTGGGAGAGCAAACAGGCATTTTTCGGTTTCCCAAATTCTTCCTTAAATATAGTATTATACCTTATTTGAAAATTATCTTCTGTTGCTTTCTTCAAAATTTCCTGTTAACATAACACCAAAACTGAATGACAGCCTAGCTTGAAAAACAGAAATAATTTATTATGTTTGAAAATAGGGAAAGCGTTTAAAGCCACAAAAGTAAAAATAAAAGTTGCAAATGAACTAAAATTAATATTCTTTAAAAAAAATATCTGAACTTGCAAACTCGAAGCTCCAAAGCTTAAATAATCACCACAGTACTAAAAAGAGCATAATCTATGATACCATAATCTATGTAATAAAATGAAAAATTACATTTTTGAAGACATTCTTCTAAAAGACATAAACTATAATTTATAAGAACATCAGATTTATTTATAACTGCATCATATTTGATCCAGTAGTTTTTTTAACATGGGATCCTAACATCTGACAACAACTATCAATAAAGGGCCATGTGGCGACTAAATAAAATAAAATGACCACGGGAAAAATTTCCATCATTTGCAACTCGCTTGCCGATTTGTCATTTGACACCTCACCATTTCTTAAATGATGGAAATGCACCCACATAATGTGCATAAAAATGCTTATTTTTAAAAACTTCTATTTATTTTTTAATTAAATGTTTGAAAAGTTATACAGTAATCAATTTCATATAAGGAATCTTTAAATAGGCTACATTTAAGAATAATAAAATTCAATCCAAACATTTTTTTCTAACTTTTTATATGAAAGGATTTTATTACTTCATTGTAGTCTGATATAACATATTTTAATGACTATCTGCCCCTTTTTATTAAGAGTTAGTTTCAACATCTTTTCAGATGTGGCTAACTTTGTTTTTTTTTTTATATTGAGGCTTAAAAGTAGAATTTATTATTGACGAAAGGCTGATATTTGCCGAAAGAAGGAACGGGAAGAAAAAACAGGCAGCTGCAGTATTTTATCTTTGGTTGTATCAAATGACAATGAAGCGGGAAATGAAAAAAAATAGCAAATAAACCACTAAAAGCAATATTTCCAAAAAACAGTTTAACAATAAAATAAATAAAAACTTAAAAAAAAAAACAAGGCAATGATTAAACGATAAGATTTATTTCCAAGAATAGAAATTAAAAAAGGTAAATCACATGTGAAAGATTAATAAATAAATAAATAAAATAATTAACAATGAAAGAATACAGAAATAAATAAAGCTGAGAGCAGCAGTTGCAGAATACGATGCACAAGCTATGACAAAAGGTAAAAAAAAAAAAATTAGAAAAGCAAAATAAATTGTAATAATTTTCTAAACTTAAGCGTTAACACATAAATCTAGTATATGTGTTAACGCTTAAGTGCAGAAATCAATTTTGCTAAAAAATTGTGTAGCCAATGTGCAGATTAACTAGGGTGATCAATTAAAATGTCTCAAAATAACAACACAATCTACAAACTACCTAAATAACCAGCACATTACCAACTAGGCATGCGTTAAAATAAAAATAAAATATTTGCTGGAACAACAATAAAGTTTTTGATTACTTAAATTAATACAATGTTATTTGTTTATTTTTCGATATCTAAATAATCAAGTAAAAATAATCAGTAAATTCTTTAGCTGACTGCCCCAGTTAATCTGCAAGCTAATGTGCATATTTAGTACATATTTAAAATATAAATACTCATTAAATAACCATTAAGATTTAAATCTCGGTTAATCAAAACTGAATTTCAAAAATAGAAAATCTGACTACTTACCATTAGCTGCCACAGACATCATATATTTAGTCATATTTCATCCTTTTTTATTGACATCATTTGAGAATTATCAATTCTATAAGCTATCAAGATAAAAGAAAATAAGTATCAATATACTTGTAAAAACATCTTCATAATAAGAATTGACAAAACAATGTGTTTTATAATTCAATGACTTTTTTTCTTGCAAACGAGACTCAACAATAAAACGGTTGTGGTTACTGAGAGGAAACGTTTAAGATATCTTTTAATTTTCAGAAATAAACTGGTTATTGATGTTTGCAGCATTTTTAAAAACATGCAAAACATAAAATCATTATTTATTTAGAATTGGAGCAATCATTCGCAAACGTTATCTTAGAATTTATAAGATTTTCCAGTAAAAAATTAGTTACTAAAATTTTACACTCAGCATTTTCAAAAAGGTTACTTGCTATTATACTTTTGCCAGTTTTTATATTTTTGAATAATATCTTTTATTTTGCATAATTTCAGAAAAAGAGTTTTTTTGGCATTTTTAACGAGTTTTTTTATTTTTAACAAAAATAAAAGTAAACATTTAAAAAATCTAAGAATAGAAAAATATAAAGCATTAAATTACTCAACTGAAGTTAGAAATTGAATAATTTAATTATTTAAAAGTTTTACCTAAAAATTCATAGAACTTTTAAAAAATTTTAAGTGCTCATTAAATAAAGCTAATCCTTTATTCATTTTTTTTTATTTTGAATGGTGTGGTGATGACAAATGATACTCTATCTCAGTGATTCTCAACCTTTCTTTTGTGGCGGCACAATTTTAACGATTTCGAAATTTGCCGGCACACAATAAAAAAAAATTAGTTTAAAAGTTGTTTACTTACCTATAATACACTGTGTTAAATAGTTAGTGATAATAATTTTGAATGTGAAATAAAATAATATGTACAACAAAAGCACGTTTATTAAGAGATAATTATTTCTTTCGACTAATTTTGTATTAGTTGGTAACAGTTATTTATTTTTTTGCTAGTTATTAATTGTTAACTTGTTTTCTATAGTTATTAACTGTTAGTTTTTCTACATTGCTATTTTTGTGTGATTTCTTGTTAACTAGTTTTTTTGCTAATTAATTGTTAGCATGTTTTTTTGTTAGTTATCCTTTGCTAATTCACTTTTATAACTATTAATTGCATAGCTTACTTTAATGATTAGCTTTTATTTCCGTTTGAAANTGCTAATTATTAATTGTTAGCTTAATTTTTGTTAGTTATCCTTTGTTAATTTGCTTTTTATATATTTGTTATTTTAGTTATCCTTTGTTAATTTGTTATTAATTGTATAGCTTACTTTAATGATTAGCTCTTACAACATTTTTTAAAATTCTGTGTCATATACAATTTAAACACTTCCATCTTATCTTAAGATTGTCAGAGACAATACAATCGCCGACTAAGATGTTCACGCGGTAAAAGCGTGGAAAATTATAAAAAGTATTATATATATACACTTTTCTTTAATTTAAACTTTACTCATAATTAAAAAAAAGCATTATAATTTTTATTGTATCATTTCTAATGTTTGGCGGCACACAAAAGTGCCGCGGCACAGTGGTTGAGAATCACTGCTCTATCTTGTTAATTTTAGACAAAAAATATCAAGATAAAGAAAAATTTTTTAAAAAAAATGTTTTTTTAAAAATCCTCTTAATCTTCTCCTGGTTTCATGAATTATAGGGAGCGGCAAAAAACTCGGGCAAAGTTACTGCATCCTAGAATAGAAATTAGTTAATTTTCTTTTAATTTGTATAATAATTTCTTTCGTCAACGACTTTAACTATAAAATATTTTAAAATATATTTTTTGGTTATCTATCAGGGTACATAGCCAAATTATTCAACAAAAAATAAGCACCTTTTAAGCACTCAAATAATATTTATAAGCACTTAAAAAAAATATCATAATTAGGTAGGGTAGGAAAGTTTTTGACAATTGAAGGTTTTATCTGGTTTCAACCATCATGTCAAAAAAAACCCTTTAGGCATTGTTTTTGACAATTATTAAAATTTTTGAAATCCTGTAAATCAAATGGCGTTTTCAAACGCTACAGACTGACGATGCGCCAAAATAGATTGGGGTGGAATTAATTGTAAAAACGTTGAATAGAACAATGTGAACGGTGTCTTTCTGCACAATTAGTAGCGAAAATCAACATGGTAAATGAAAAATCTCAATTTGGAAAAGGGAAAATTAAGCACTTTTCAAAAACATCCTATGAAAAAAGCACCTTTAAGAGAAAGCACCTTTTTAAAAACGAAAATCGAAGATAAGCACTTTTTAAAAAAGCTATGCACTCTGTCTATTGTTTTTTTTTTCAGGCTTTTTTTTTCCATTTTAAGCAAAAGAATTATTAGAAATCATAGAATAGAAATTAACTAATTTCTTTTCAATTTGTGTAATCATTTCTTTTGAGAAATACTTTACTTATAAAATTTTTATTATATATTTCTTAGCTTACCAATTGTTTTTTTTTTTAATTCTTCTTTAGCAATGTTTAGTAAAAGATCTGCAGATTTGCTATTTTAAAATTGTTTAAACACGAAAAACGACAGTGTTAAATTGTTCTTTTGCTTAATGTGCCTCGGAAAACCGCGTTTAATGTAATCTGCCATTTCAAAGACCTTGGCGATGATGGTCCATGAAGCGAACAAAAACTTAAGGTGAACATTTTCAATAGTTATGAGGCCATCAAAAAGCAAGTTAAATGAAATCCGAGGGTTGCCACGAGAAAGATCACTCATGAAATGGTAATAAGTGACCGAACAGTGAGGCAAAAGCAGCTTGGTTTACAAGTTTCAATAAGTTCAGTTTCTCACAGAAGAAAACTTGTGGGGCTCCAAAAGTAATGAAACATTTTGAGACGGGCCACAAGTCAGTCACTGAGAGAGTTCCCCTTTCACTGACGTGAAGCTCTTTACTGCCCAACAAGTTCATAACTTCCAAAAACGACAGGATCTGGTCTGTAGATGGAAAGCACATTTTCTGGACATGACATCATCTAAAGAATAGCCACTCTACTCACCAAATCTCATTTTCATGTACTACAGAGTATGGTCCATTTTGGAGTTTAAGGCCTACCCTAAACCAAACAAATCTTTGGACTCCCTAAAGCAATAACTTCAAGAAAATTAGGATAGATTAAAGGTTGAAGACTTGAGGTCTATTGCTAAAAATTTCCTTAAGATTTGCTGCAAAAGGTGGCCACTTTGAAAAGAACTAAATTTATTTAGTAGTAAAAATCTTCTCCTATTATTATTTGTTATATTTTGCCAATTTATTATTTTTTTGATAAATTTATATTTTTATTATTTGTTATATTTTGTCAATTTATTATTTTTTTAAGAAAGTTCTATTGAGCTGTGGTGGCTCAGGGGATCAGGGTATAGTTCACCTTCCAATGAGGTGAACCAGGTTCGAATCCCAGCGATGGGTGGAATGAATTCTGCACCCAGCTTGCACTTACTGCAGTGCTGACGTAAAATATCCTCAGTGGTAGATGGATCATGGGTTAGAGTCCCTTTGGAGGTTTTTCTTTACATGTAACCCAAATGCGGGGTTCCATCAAAAAGTTCTTCACGAAGGAAAAATTTCCCTCAATACTTAATCCAGGAGTTCCCTTATCTTCAGGATTGGGTTCAAAATTACAAGGTTATGGAGTTAAATATTGGTAGTCGTAAACCCAAAATTGGGTCGGCTTTTCAACGAGGGTTATAAAATAAAGTTATATTATTAATTGCTGTCGGGACTTTTTGCTATACTCTGTACTATAATAAAATGTAACTTTTATGATAAATGTCGACAACAATTACCCTAATGTCATACTAATACCCATTTTAAATAAATTTTTGGAATGAGTACACTAACAATTTCAGAGCTCAGTAAAAAAGAAACATATCAGAGTAAACATCAGTTTCATAAGGGCCAAATGGGTAGGTTTAAAATGAATGAAAAGTTAAAATAAAAAGAATTCAACAGGAAGATATAACATGTACCTAGTACAATTTTTAGAGACAAAAGATCATACTAACAAGGGGAGTATGTACCTCAAAATTTTATCTCTTGTCTAGATAATTGAATTTTATCTCTAATTTTCTATTCTAAAAAGGTTTACTATAACAATTTAATTTAATTTAAAAAAAAATTTTCTAACAATTTTTTTCAAAGTTTAATTTTTAAAACCAAAACATGTAATACAAATAAATTTTTCCATTTTTTTGTTTTTAAAATAAATGGAATATATAAAAAACATGAAATAATTGTACAGATTTGTTTAATTTTGTTCTTTTAATCTATTCATTTCAATTTAGTGTTTGTGCATATTCGTTTCATATTATTTCTTTCACTGTATTCTTCCTTGACATTGTTACTTCCTTGAAATTGTTACATTGCTAAAATCCTTGTACTTAAATCTTCTTTGCATGTTCTTTTTTTCCTAGTAACTATAATCATAATATACTGCAAACTAAATTTGCATTTTCAATGAAATGAGTTAATAGTTCTAAGTTTGTAATAGTTAGTTAAGTAAAAGTTATAGTTAAGTAATCAATAGCAATAGTTAAGTAATAAATAGTTCTTTTCGATTTATTCCTTTTTTTAATCTTTTTTTGTAACAAGTATAATAATATATTTTCTTTTACATTTTCATAATTAAATTAATTTGAAACTTAAATTATTTAGTACAAAATGAAAAAATAAATTCAGTTAATTCAACAAAAAATTTTAATTACAAAATTATATTCGAAATAATCTATATATTTTGAATTAAAAAAAATTATAAATAAATATGTATTACTTTGTTTTAAAAAATTCCATTTAAGAAAAATAATGTTAATTAAAAATAATAAGTTGAATAAAACATATTAAATGGTTATCAATCTTTTTAGAAATAGTTTCAGCTAGGATTTGAGCCCAGGACAGATAGAAGGCGATAACACCACCAAACGCTTATTGATGATTTAATAGTACGAGTAAGAAGTGACTAATTACAACTGCTCTCAATATAAAAAATGGAACAATCTGATGCAAAATAAAATGAATCTGAAGGGGAAAAAAATTATAGAACAAAATAGCAGATGCCTTCGGGTCATTCAATCAGTCTTTATTTGAAAAAGTTATCACACTGTTTTTGAAGAAAGGAAAAATATTCTGCTAAGTTATTTTATATTTTTCTCTTAAATTGACACTTTAAATGAGTGACAAATTTAGCATTTTTTCCAGAACCTTGACAAAAAGTGAAAATATCTTAATATTTAGGGTGTGAGCTTTTTGTTCATTTCTGATCATTAAAAGAAAGAAGGAACATTATTCAGAAAATGCTTATTTTTAAAGAAGAAAATTTGTTAAGGTTTCTATAATTTTTGGCAGCTATTTGAATATTATAGATTATAAAAGAGTAATTATATATATATTAAATTCTATATATACTGTAAATTATTTGTTACAAGGTTTCTACTGTAAAAGTACAAGGTCAAATTACTAAATTCAACAAGGTTTCTATTGTTAATGGCAGCTAATTGCGCATTGAATATTGGCAGTTAAGTAATTCTAAATACAAAACGCATAAATAACACATAAAATTTCCAATTGTAATTCTCCCTCTAAAAAAAACAAAAAACAAAAAAAAAATCATAAAAATTGATAATTAATGCACTTGAAAATAATAATTATAACCAAACCTTTCAGAAAACAATTCTTTACTTCAGCTATAATTTCTTGTCTCGCTTCTTTGCTAATTTTACCTGAAAATGTACACACTATAAATTCCTTGACTAATTTTTTTAAATGTAAAAACCCATTGCAAATAGTCATAACAAACCTTAAACTAAAGAAATCTTTATAACAAATTTAAAAGAAATGCTAAAAAGGTGATAAAAACACATTTTACAACTAGATATATTTTCTTAAATTTACTGTATTTTTTTTTATGAATTTTGCTCAAAAAAATAACTAATTTTTAAAAAATTATAAATCTGAAAATTTTAATAATAAACATAATAAATTTTAATAATAAGTCATAAGCATCATAAAAGTTTTAAAATTCAATGAATAATTATGAAACAGTTTTCATATAATGTGAACCAAACTGCAAATAATAACAAAAAATAAATCTCATATAAAAAATTAAAAAATACATAACTGGATAAATAATCAAACACAAAAATCTGAACCTTAGACACTTTGCCTTTTATGGAATTTAGTGTTATTAAGATCATTTCACTTATCTTTAAACTTACCTACTAAATATGTCAAATTTAATCTTGAATAATTTAAAAATACTTTAAAATAATTTTAGATACAAATATTTAATAAAACACAAAACTTACGAATATGCACTTAAGTATTTATTATTTACAGAAATTTAAAAAAAGAAAAGAATTTTTCTGTAGCTTAAGAGCTAGTATTTAACAAATGAATCAATTTTTGTTGGCATAGATTTTTAAAATTTAAATTAACAGATAATTAAATAAATAATATGAGAAAATTAATTGTTACTGGTTAGGTATAGAGATGTTTTAATTGCAAATTTCATTGTTTTCACCAAAAGAGCTAGTGCGGTTTATGGAGAATTACATTACATAAATCTATTATTGTAATATATATTCTCTCTAAAGTTTTAAAATTGGAATAACATTTTCAAGGAAATAATATTTAGAAGTTTCAATAAAAGGTTTCATGTTTAGAGATCATACGTAATTTTTAACATAACGTTTTCATGAGACTTTTGTTAAAATCTTAAACTAAATTTCCAGTTGTATCTGATTTATTGAATACGGTTTGATGAGCATAATTCTGTTCCAGAAAATGAAAGTAAATAAAGAGTATTTTACTTTGTACTAATTCTCTGTGTAAAGATAAAATGAGGACTGTATAGAAGCGGATAAAAAAAAAAGTGGATGGATGATGTCTTGAATAATTTAAGAACTTTAAAGATCTCTAAATGGAAGATCAAGGTTAAGGACAGAGCTGTCTGGAGAAACATTGTGTGGCAGGCTGATGCCCACCCTAGGCTGTAGTGCCATTAAAGAACAATAATAATGATTAGATATGCACTTACTTTTTTGAAAAAGGTGGGGAAAAAACAAGCAATGAGAAAACATTTAATTTGCTGATTCTAACAGTTTTTATTTATATAAAATGTCGCGTAGAAAGAACAGAATTTACGCTGGTAAGTATAATAGATTTATTAACAAACACCTAGAATACACAGAACATGGTAACTTCAGTTTCCACTTGAAACGCATAAACGTATATACAGTTAAATCAGGAAACAGAAATGACATCAGAGAATGTTCTAGAACGTCCTATATTATAATAACTGAAATCTTAAACTACTTATATACATGTTTACATACTTCTATAGTCTTTTAAGAAATCGGGAAACCTTGGAGGATCGAACTCAAGATCCCCAACTTGCCAAGCGAGTGCCTTTAGCCACTCGGTCATGCCGACACGTTCCGTGTCAATATGCATTGTCATGTACTTTATCCCTACCACAACCAGTTACAATTTTAACCGCTTTTGTTTAATATTCATTGAAAATCCTCCGAGCTTAAAAGGAAAAAGATGGCTTTTACACACCCAAAGAAAAGATTATTGTAAAGCCTCTTTATTTATTCTAAAAAGTTCATTTTTTTCATTAAAATAAATGTTTTTCAAGAATATAAAGAAAGTTGATTAAAATGCAACTCATTTTGCTAAAAATATTTTTGGATGACACCAAACAGAGTCATAGAGGGAAGTTAAAATAGATGGGATACGGGGTGCCTAACCCGCTGTAAAGGTAGGAAATTTTAGCAAGCAATTTTGTAAAATTATCAAGTGTTTATTTTTATAAATGCTTAACCATTAACTTTATTTGAAAAAATTTGAAATTATTCAAATAAATTCAATTAAATTAGAATAAATTCAAAACTTTTCAATTTTGAAAAATTAGCAAGTCTTTATTTTTATAAATGCTTAACCATGAAACAATATGAATAAAGTTTTATTTTATAGTCACTCTAATAATTTTTTATACAACTTTTAGATTAAAAGTTTAATTTTTAGAGAGAAAATGTTCATAGAACAATGTGCAAGAAAATATCATATCTGAACAGTAACATTTTCTAACAGACAAGAGAGCAAAATGCTTTCAATACAATATGTATCTACAAAATCTTTGACATAAGAATAAATAAATAAAAAGAAAGAGATGGAAGTGTGAGATATTCTATCATTCCTTAAAATTAAAAAATATGAAAGACATCACACTGTTAGAAAGAACCTATTTTTAGTACAAGAAAAAAAAAGAAAAGAAATGATAGTTCAATAGTTATTTAAATTATTTAATATGACTTACTCATAGCTATATTTTTAACAGCACTGTAGATTGGCTCATAATAGATTTCAGGTTGCGTCCGAACAGCCTCTGGAATAAAGTTGAAACAAATAACAAAAAGGCACTTAATAATGAGAATTTCACAACATAATTTAAAAGAAGAGTGGACAATTCAAAATTTAATAAAAAATCTTTATATATTTTTAGATGAATTTCTTTTAAACTTTATTTTTTAATGTACTTCATTGCCTTCATAAATTTTTGATGAAATAATATCTATACTTTGAACAATAAGTTCTGTGACCTTAGGTCACCTTCTTGCAATTTTTATTGTTTGAATTCTTCTGCTTTTAAATTTCACCATTTTGATGAAGACATTTTGAATATATGCAGGTGGTTCATTTGTGATGTGGCAGCTAACATGTTTGATCAGGGTTAACTGAAACCCCTTGACCTGGATGAATTTTAGTGGGTTTAATTGGATGTTTTCAATATATTACCCACTATAACACTTTTAGGTTTAAATTTTGATTTTATTTCAAAAGTGGACAATTTCAATTTAAAAGGAAGCTATCATAGCAATATAATAATTAAATTATTGATTAAAAAAATAGAATTAACATCAAGTTTTAATGCAGTAATACATAACTGCCAACATAGATAGGAAGAAAAAAAATCAGTAGATGTTATAAAATATAAATTTTCATGATAATTGTTGGATAATATACTTAATATTTTGCACATAGGGAATTTTAGGGATTTTTATAGTTATCAAAAAAGAAAAACGGCAATATTTTTTAGTCATGATTAGCATTAAATATGCTTGAAATGTGTATTATGTTGATTCATAGTTTTGAATAGTAATACGCATTTAAGTCATAAATAATAATTAAAATTTTTTGATTAATTTAAAAAGGGAGTTCTGAATAAAAATAAACTGAACATTTTAGATAAAAAAAGTTTCTAACTGATTTCTATAAATTAGGTTCGCTTCATTATATATAAGTAATACTTATTTAAATATTCAAGCAAACAATAATCCATGGAAAAATTCTATTTCAATAGGAATTTTTTTTTAGGAAACTTACTCAATTTTAGGGTATTTTCTATAATGTACAAAAACTAGGAGAATTTTTATTATACCAGTAGATCAGGAGAAACTAGCAAAATGCAGTAGTCTACTGGTAAATCCAGTTGAGTTGGCAGCTATGGTAAAAAAATTTCCTGCTGGTATTAATAAAAAGTTCTTAATTTAATTCCTTCCATGGCAAGAGATAAAAGCATATATGTCAGAGAAGAATGCTGTTTCTGTTAGATTGTTTTGCAATGTTTTGTTAGATTGTTTTGTAATGCTTTAAATGTCGTTGTTGTAGTTTATTTACGTCGCACTAGAGCTGCACAATGGGCTATTGGCGATGGTCTGGGAAACATCCCTGAGGATGATCCGAAGACATGCCATCATAATTTTGATCCTTTGCAGAGGGGATGGCACCCCCGCTTCAGTAGTCTGACGACCTGCACACAAAGTCGAGAACTTTACGGTGGAACAGTTTAACGAGGACCAATACCGTGAACCCTCGGTCCCTACGCAGACTGATCCAAGTGGTCACTCACCCGCACACTGACGCAGCCAGTGATGCTTGACTTCGGTAATCTGCTGGGAGCCGTGTCTTAGTGATCTGTCCACTGCGGGACGTTTTTAATGGTCATGTTAATGTTAGCAAAAGGCATTCATCCATGCCTTTGCTGAAAATGTAAAGTAACTTGTAATTTTGCTTAAAGCTTGGATCAATTTTTTATTTACAAAGTAGTATAATAGCTTCTTAGAGGGTAAGTTTCAGCACTTTGATGTGTGCTACTATATTTTAAGTTTACACAGTTTTTGTTCGTTTTTAATGTTTATCCATAATTTTTTCCTATTAAGCATGGACCAACACTTTTAGTTTTTTTTCTACAAATACAATAACTCCTTTACTTAAATTTTACCTTAATACTATAATTTATGGTACAGGTTTTAAATGCTATGCAAAGCATTTATTTATTTATTTATAAAGCATTTAGATGGGTTTTTTTTTTAATCAAAAAAGATTGCAGGAAATTGTTTATTATTTCAACTTTAGAATCCAATACAGTAATTAGAAACAAAACATTGATCATTTAAGAAGAAATGTTTAAATTTCACAGTCATTTCATATTGTTTCAAGTAAACTTCTAAGATTGACAAACCTTTTTAAGAAAAGAACAATAAATAGTATTTATGCAGAATATTTCTTTAAGTTTTAAAGTATTAACCTCAAAATTAAGCTCTCTGGTAGTTCAAATAAACATTACCAAAACTATAATGGATAAATAATAAGAAAAAAAATTATTTGAAAATGCTTTTGAAGTATATTATATGAAATAAAAAATAAAAGCAAATTGGAGCTCTAGCAAAAAATTATGATAATAATTAAGTTTTATTTCTTTTATCATGAGCTTTGTTTTAATAACAGTTATAGAACAAAATAAAATATATCAATCATTAAAATATATTATCATGAATATTAAAATATTTGAGAAAAGTATCCAGTGATGTTTTTGTTTATATCAACAAATTTAATTTCACAATCATACAAAAAATATCAAAGGTGTCGCTTTAATCGCACATTGAACAATAAGATTTATAAATACTAATAAAACTTAACACTTGAATAACTACAATTAGATAAAAAGAAGCTATTTCAAATTAGAGTAAAAGCTTAATATTGCAAGAAGTTTGCAATAATGACTTATTTAAAATTACATGTTTATAATGAAACTACTAACCTTCCTCTATCACACCAAGAAAAGTTTTAGAGAAATATATTTTTCTGCTGTTCAAGAGAGCAATATCATATTTCATAACATTTCTCAAATGTGGAAAAGATTTAAAAGGAAGGCACTTTTATTTATTTTTGGTATCAATACAGACGAGGAAAAAAAATCGTTTTTTTCTTCTTAAAATTTTCACTCTATACTTTAATAAAGCAATGAGTAGGCAACAATCATTTCTAAACAACTTATTTTCTTCTAAACAAAAAAAAAATTGCTGTTATTTTTAGTACTCCTGCCACACATTTTGAAACAACATACCTTTTGTTGATCTGACATCAAAATTTACTGCACTCTATTTAATATTTCTTAAGCAAAAACTTGTTAAATTGATTTGAAAATTTGTTGCTCAAACATTTCTGTCGCAGACATTTCTATCTTCATAAAGTAAAGAGCAATGCAATTTACTCTCCAATTTATAGGAAAAAGCAGTCTACACTAGATGTGTATTTATTTGAATCAAAATAGTTGCTCAAAATAAGAGTTAAATATGACCATTTCATTTTTTTGTATTTCTATTTTAAGATTAAATGTGTGTATTTGCTCACAACAACAATTTTGTCTGTTATTATGAATTATTGTAAAATTGTATGTTTACTGCATGCGTCTTTTCAATTAGTAACACAATTAATATGATACCTTTACAAAGAGAAAGTACATCATGTTTCCAGCTGCCTGTGTATAAAGTACGGGCTGACAGTTCTCGTAACCTAACAAAATAAAATAAACCTTATTTTCATACAGGAAATGACATGAAACTGAAGTAAATGCAATGAAAATGAATGCTGGACTAAGAACAAAACTGACATAAATAAGCTTAAAAATTCATTTTTGAACAAAAAACACCAGGAAAAATATTTGGCATAGTGAAAGAAAATTAGCATAAGTGTGAAATAACAAATTAATAAACTAAATTAAGCAGATTATTTAGCTTATTAATTTTCTATCTAAAACTGGTAATAATATATATAATTTAAACATGAATAAAATATTTTAAAAAAATAAAATGAATACTTGGAAAGATCTCCACTTTGAATCAAAACTCGATGAATCATTTCAATTTGAGCTTGCAACCTATATTAATAAAAATTAAAAACATTATTAATTTTAAGATCTAGGAAAAAGATAATTTATGAACAATTAAATTCAGAAGTACAGTGAGTGAAATACAAAGACTTAAGGTAATAGAATGACTGACAACGCTTTCTCGAAAGTTAAGTTATTTTTGCATCAAACTGTTAGTATTGTTCCTAGATTGGTATTTTACAATTTTTCAGAATTCTCATTAAATAAGAATACAATGCACAGAAACACATTATAGATGGTGTGAAAATTCCGATGTTTCATCTTTTCGCTCTCTCAGAAAGAAAAGAAAAAATTCAGTCCAGAAAAATTTCTAAAATGGCACTTACTTTTATAACACTTTATATGATAATATTAATTTTTAAACATATTATGACATATTTTAATATGCTATGCAAACTTTGGAAAATATATCTGACAATACTAGTGTAGTGTACTACCACTAGTATTATTTATTTTCCAATCAAGTCCAAACACTTTGACCATATACATCTTGATTAAGTTGGCCCATTACCACGATCTAAAGGATTTTCATACTGCTGGACGATGATCTACAGATGTACTAACTAAATGGGTGCAAGCAGTTCCGACATTAAAGCAGAGATGATGGCAGAAGCTTTCTTCAAAACCTGGATTGTTCACTTTGGATAACCTTTAGTGATAATTACCGACCAGGATCTCCAGTTCAAGGGTAAACTCTTCAAAGCTCTAGCGCATTTATTGGGCATCAAAAGAGTTTGATCCTCACCTTACCATCCTCAAAGTAATGAGACGATAGAACAATGGCACCTGACTCTTGAAAGTTACACTCAAGTTCCACAGTACAGACCATTGGTCAGATGTCTTAACAGCTATCCTGTTAGGCTTTCGAGCTGTATATAAAGAAGATCTATTGCCATCATTCTCAGAGCTCGTCTAAGTGACAACACTTATTCTCCCAGGTGAATTTTCGCATTGGTGACTTTCGAACATAATCTGAACATGGCTATCTTGCCAGTAACATCTACTTCAAATTAAACACGCCTACTTCAATGAATGGTACACATTGAACAGTTTACTAGCTATTTGCGACAGCGATATTGTCCTCCTTGCACTGTTGCAACTCAGTCTCAATCTCACAGCACTGGAGCTTGGACACATTCGACTGCTAAAAGCAACACAGGAGCGACCACATACACAACTGCCAACTTAATACAGCTCTCACAACCAGGGCTCAAAGTCCGTTACAGCTATGAATCAAAATAGTTCGCAAAACGGCACTGAATCAACTAATGATATTTATTCATCCAATTCTATCCCAGATAAAATACTGGATGGGGAGTGACGTAGTGTAAGTATCACTACAATAATACACTTCCAATTCACTAGCATATAAGAAATGTTAACTCAATTCTATCTTGAGGAACCTTTAGAAAAATGAAGGTTGATATCATCAGCATTTTAGCCTCCACACTAGTGAATAAAAATAAATAAATAAAATAATACAAAATCAGCCACCATAAAATCTTTTCAGGTTTGATGCTTCTTGAGTTTAAATCTCTCTTTTGAAGATGTAACAATGTGTTTATTTAGAATAGGACTTTGATTTAAGCTTCTTTCTATTATTGAGGGTAGAAAATACTTATTAATAAAATCATTTAAAATAAAAACATATAGAAACATAAAACATAGTTACATCAATAAACATTTACATACATTTTAAACATATACACTTAAAAACTTTACATATTGGGATGAGAAAAATTGCAGTTTTCGGATCCTTTAGTTCATATTTCACAAGATATTTTACCATCATACACTTAAAAATGGGTCAACAAATTTTAAAGAGGATTTGGATAGGTATAAACTAACTAATTAGGATACATACAACAGTAAGATAAAATATTTGATATAAAGTGATGTTACAATTTCAGAACATTTTTTCTAAAATATTTATAACTACTGAATTAAATATTTCAAAATATATAATAATAGCAATTCTTACCGATGTCCTTTACTTTCAACTAACTGTGAGTTACCATTTTCTTCATTTCTTCAAAAAAAAAAAATAATAAATAAATAAATAAATGTATCAATACATTAACATAATTTTTTTAATAAAAGATTCTATCAAATAAAAGGGAAACAAATTAAATCTTCACTACTGCATTGTACTATAAAAATGTGCAAAAACATACCTTCCATTCTGCCCAGTCTCAGCTAAAGGGCGTCTAACCAGATCTATTGCTTCATCTTTCCTGCGATAAAGAAGAAAGAAAAAAAAAGATGTTAAAAAATTTAAAAAGACATATCCATAATATAAATAAAATATTACTGATAATCTCTTTTTTTAAATAATCTATAGCGTACAAAAAAAAGGGCATAACCATTGAAAACAAAAAAGGCCTATTTAAGATTTAGCCTTAAGTAAATATGCTAGCTAAATAGGGCAGACATTGTTTTAAATGAAATCAAGAAAAATAATTCTTTAATTAAACATAAATTTCTTTTCTGGACAAACTTGAGGATTTCCAACACTTAAAGCATGAACAGTAGCTGCAAACTGCAGAATATGATTCAAATAGTATAGTCAGCAGAGTAACCAAAAATGTGCAGCTTTTTATTTAATTTTATCATAATGCCAGAGCTAATGTGAATAAAAAAAAGTTTCTACACAATCGTGAATCTTCTTTATCCAAAGCTAGTTCAATTTAAAAAAATGTTTTTTTTTAAATTTTTATTGTTGTTAAATTTACAAATGTTTGAAAAAATGTTGAATTGTATACAACTTTTGATACTAATTTAATCTGCATAATTTTAAATAACAAAATCCAAAATTTGAAGATGGTTTTTGATAGGTCACATAGTTTTTGAGAAACTGTTGTGATGTCAACCGACGTCATCTTCCATCATCACTACGAGTCAACGACGACAGCCTGTAGTTTCTGAATAGCGGCGCTGCCTTACCTTTCCAGAGAGTATATATACCCATTCCTAATAGATGTTCATCGCTAACCTTGTTACGTGCTGTAAGCATGTTATTGTTATGTTATGTTTTATAGTTTTATTAAACTTATACCTTTGTTATTATGTGTCTTCATTGGATACCACCAAGAATATCTCACAATACAAACTAAAAATTACAACTTTTTTGAGATCATAAAATAAAATATATACCTCTGAATCTGTCTAGACTATCGGGACAGTATTTCCTAAATTGCGATTACCCCCATATTTTAAAAATCAGGAAAAAAGGTATCTGTCGAAAAAAGGTATGTTAATTTAGAGAAATTACATTTCTGTGTCTGATTTTGTAACCTGAAATATCATCCACAATAAATAATTAGCATATTTAAGATTAGATTCTTGAACCATTGATGCTTAATACGTGAAAGTTTGATTATTAGATCAAAAGTTATTTTATATATATTGCTCACTGTAAATTAAATATTATAAATTAAATATTATTATTATAATACTATTACAGTGTTTTCATTACAGAAAAAAAATGATAGAGAATTTCTCACCCTTTCTCAAAAATAGGGTGAGATTTCAAAAAGTTAAGTGAGATTTCTAAAAACTAAAAAAACACGAATAGACTTGGAAAAAAAATATTTCTTTAATTATAATTCATTTTTAACATCTTCTAATTTAATATTTTTGCAGCATCATCATATGGAAAATGTTCTATATCTACTTTTTCATCAGCTATTATATTTATTTGGCCGAAAAATATCCATATTTGTTTCGTTTTAACCGTTTCTACCGACATTTGTTTCATTTTCACCGTTTCTACCGACATTTGTTTCATTTTCATTTGTCCGTTACGGAGTAGAAGATGTCGCCTTAACAAGGTATTTGTCCATCTTACATTTATGCACAAAAAATGTAAACGTCTTTCATGAAGAAACCTTACGCAGGGTGAACACGTGGTTGCAGAGAAATGTGTTCTGAAAGGGGTTCGGGGGGAGGGTGTTCTGCTGTTCTCACCAGTTCTGAACAATACTGGTAAATAGGGAAGCTAGATAACAGGATCGATGTTCACAATAATGAAAGATCAAGGAAGAAAAGTGAACCGAATTTTATTCAAAACGGCAAAATACGAAATTTTTTCCTAAATTCAAGCATTTTGAAATTGATTGCATGCGCGAACTTCTCGTGTTAATAATTTTTTATTGCGAGAAAAGAAAATTATGCGCGAGATTCTCGCGTTATAGTGAAAACACTGTATTATTAATTATATATAAAATATTGACTGTAAATTAAATATTAACTAATCAAATATTAACTTGACTCAGACCTAACTCATAAAATTAAACTTCGATAACAAATTATTGAAAGAAAAAAACTTTGTATAAGAAGAAAATATAATAAATCCTTTTAGATAACTATTTCAGGGGATTTAGATGATAAAGATTGTCATCCAAAGTAATATTCTTAACAATATCAATTTTAATATTCAATGAATTTACTGCAATATATGATATTTATTGCAACAATGAATTTATTGCAGTATTTTCTTTCCTTCTTTGCTATTTCAGAACACACAAAATTGTATTTTATGCAGAAGATTCAGTTAAAACTGTTTTCTCCCATTATTGAACTACATATACAAATGTTGCTTTTACAATTTTTTTAAGAAAAATGCTAAAATTAGCTTTCAGGATTTACCAAATTTTAAAACTATTGCTAAAAAATAAATTTTTGCCTGAAAAAGGAATTTCATCGAATAGAATGTAATCCAAAGTCTGAATCAGCTATATTGTACCAAACACAAACAGTATTATGTAATCTAATTCTTAAGCAATCCAACATTTCTATTGCATTCAACTGAACATCTTTGAGATTAAAGCTATTTAACCTTTTAACTGTCATGATCAAAATAATCTCGGGCAGAGCACTGGTGTTCCAAAATGTCACGCCGGAGTATTACTCAAGGAAATTTTTTTGAGTGCACCGAATTGTTATACTCAAATATATATCGGGGGAAGTTTATTTCGGCTTCATCTCTTTCTCACACCCGAATCTATTTCGGGAAAATTTAATTTAGATGCAATTTAGAATGATAGATGATAGCACTTTACTGAAGGTTTAAAAAGATACATGTTCATGTCTAAAGTGTGTGGTACTTTTTTGTTGCAAAGTGGGGTCCAGTTCGTTGAAATGTTATATAGATATTTTTTTTTAGAAAATAATTAAATTGCATTTTTTTAAAATTTAAAAAAAATAATGATCCAATAGAAGTGAACTTTACCACTGCCACCCTGAGTAACAACAGCTTTAAGCAAATATGCAGTGGATGCAAAACCTTAAAATTTTTATGCATGTAATTCAAAATATCAATTTTTAACTACTAAGTATATTTCATTTTTAACTAAACATTTCAGTTTTACGAAAATTCCAAAAGTTCAAAGTTCTCTCTAACAGTTGGAGTCGAAAGTTTGATGTTAAATTCAGGATTGGCAGATGATCACTGCCCACACTATTTAAAACAGTCCATCGGCATGATGCATACAACTCAGCACTAACAATAGAGATATCGAGAGCTTCAGCAGAGTTATAGCTGAATGAGTAATGTGTACAAGAGCCATCATTAAGAAACATAAGGGATCTGTCATCCCCGGCTTCTAGGAGATCATTTCCTCTGCTATTATTAACTGAGCATCCCCATTGAGTGTGTTAATGTCTCCCAAAAAGATACTTGGGAAGTTGACAGGATCTTGATCCAGGAAAAGTAAAGACAATCCAGAATTTATGAGACAAATGGCTCTTGAAACTATTAGTCAAATACCAACAGATGCTTTACAACTATACACAGATGGCAGCATGAGCGACGAAGGTCATTCAGGTAGTGGGGTTTTTATTAAAACACCTACGTACACATTGAGTCTCAAATTTAGAAATTCTGAATTTTGCTTGGTTTTCAGATCTGAGCTTATTGCGATTGAAAATGGCCTAAGACATATTGAGAATATTGCTGAGCCTGACTTTAAGCATATATGGATACTGATGGATAGCAAATCTTCAATCCAACACCTTAGCCACTGGATGAATGTTGGAGACAGGGCTGCGGCTTCACTTTTGGGGATGCTCTTCAGGCTCTCAGCGGACTTTGGGGTACACTTCCAATGGATTCCATCACACGAGATGGCGGACTCACAGGCTAAAGATGCTTCTTTGGAATCTTTACAGCCAGATTTACCTTCCACTTTCAATGAGATCTTTGCAGAGTGCAAAAAAATGTTTATGAACCTCTGTAGGGTTCCTCCTCCGCATAGTTGGTATTTCAGAAAACAACTTAGAAGTGCCTTGCTTTTTGAGGGACCTAGAAGCCAGCAGACTTGTTTATCTTGCTTTGCAAGTGGTCACTTGAGGTGTCTCTCGTATGTTCAGGGGCAAAAGACTTTTGGACTTTGCACTAAATGTAGGACTGCTCAGGCTTCGCCTGAGCATATTCTAAACTGTATCGATTTTGAGATCGACAAGGTTTTTTCAAAACCTCATCTGTTTTTAGACTTTCTGGACATTTTTGGACTTACGGAATTGGTCTAATTAGGATGGGCCTCTTGGGGATTAGAAACAACAACACTAAAGATTTGATTTTTGCGAGAAGAAAAAAGAAAATTTATGTACTAAAATCATCAGAATAAATTGATAGTTAATGACACAAAATGAGCATGCGTATGTCAAGACCCAATAACTACAACAAACATGTTATAAAAATATTTCATAAACTGAGAAAATTTTTTTTTTTTTTTTAATGAATGTTAATTGTCAAATGTTATATTTTAATTCCACATGTTGATCAATCTGTACTGATTGTGCATTTATAAATAGATAATAAATAGAGAGATACTAGTAAAAAAAATACATACCAGCAATGATTCATAATGGCTTTATAAATTATTATGTAGCTCTTCTTTATTTAAATTATATCTATTAAAGAAATAAATAAATAAATTAGTTTCACATAAATTTATTTATAATTTTTATAGTTATATGCAGGGACTGTGATAACTGAGGGGGAGGAGGCCTTCCAAATTTTATAAATGAAGGGACACAGTCCCTTCTACCATTATAAAATTTCACTTAATATTTGAGTAACTAAATTTATGATTAAAAAATAATAATTAATTTTTTTTGTCTCAATTCTAAAAAAAAATGTCTGTTTCAAGCCAGTTTTAACGTGTTTCCATGGTGAAAACTGCTATAAAATTAGTCCGTACTCATCTATTGCAGAGGAAATATATATCCTTAT